TACTGGACTCATAATCACAACCCCAGCACTGGTCCTGAAACAGTCACAAACCCTAGATTCAGCCACCTCTGGAAAACCCACTCCCCATTACCACATGAGCCTTTGGGGGGACATCTAGACACAAACCATAACAGTTGTGCTAATTAATATCTGGCTTAACTAACTAACCTGTATTTAGCATCCAGGTTCTGCCTCTAACACAGAAGTCCTCACACACAAACAAGCTGGACTTTTTTGTTTTTCTCTCGTGTGATGGCACAGGGTCGATGTGGTAGCACCACTGTGCTGGCAACCAGACCTGGCTGCTCCAAGTTTGCTAGGTTCTGATTTGGCTACACTGCAACCCTAGAGAAGCCCAGGAAGTAAACTTTCTGAGTTAATTCCCCAAATGCAGAAAGGATGACCAAGAAAGGAAGCTACCCGTGGTGCATGTGGGCTGGGGAGAAAGAACACACCCCTTTCCTTAAGCAACCACCTGATTCAGAGGAACTCGACTATTTGATTGACTTTGCAAGCCTAAAGCTGGTAGTCTGAGCAACTATTTAGAGGATAGCAATATGCAATATAGTAACTATTGTAGATTTTCTATTGTCTTATTACTGTTTCATTTCACTTTATTGTGCTGTTTTACTCCTTTTAAAATTAAAAAAGGGTGTCCAAAAGTACCAGTCAGCTGGGAAACACAATAACTGTCCACCTCAGTAACTTTTTCATGTTGTTTGGTTTTTTGGAAATAGTGTGAATCTGGATACTTACTTGTACATAGACAAGAGGGAGAAGGTAGGAATTCTTCGTGCGTGTGTCTGTGTATGTGTGTGTCACAAGCAGGACTTATCTTTCCAGTTCCACATTTCAAATGACAAACATACATTTTAACCTTTTTATTTTTTTCATCAGGCATTAACCGAGATACATTTTTGTTTCTCTTTTTGAGTCAGAGTCTCATTGTGCAGTTCAGGCTGGCCTTGAATTCATTTTGTAACCTAGGCTGAACTCGAACTTGCAAAGTGCACTTGCCTCAACCTCCCAAGTGCTGGGATCACAGGCATGTTGCACCGCGCCAGGCTAAGCCAGACACTTTCATTACTGAGCCAAACTCCTAACCAGCTCCCCACTGTTTTACAGAAATGCAAACTGAGATCAGAAAGTTAAAATAAATTACAACTGGAGAACTTGAAAGTAATGGAACCAGGATTCTAACCCACATTTCCTGACTTCAAGTTTTTTCCTTTCATGCCATTATGTTGCATGGGAAACCTCAGCATTTTCTAACCCTTGAAAAGGTTTTATGTTTGCTTTTTGCAGTGTTGACAATTAAACCCAGGGTCTTTTGCACGGCAGGCAAGTGCTTTACCATGGGAAAAGTTTTAATAAGTTGTGAGAATGTATATCTGTTGCTGGTCCTTCAAATCATGCAAAGTTCTGTTGGGAGTCTCACAGCTCCCCTAACAGCCCAACCACACCGCGGTGAAACTCCTTTAGAACTGCAAGTTACCTCGTTGGGTCTAGTGTTTATGTCCCAGGGACCACTTTTTATAATGCCAGTGGTGTCATTTTGCCACACTGTTCCAAAGGTTATATATGATGGAGGCGACCTGCTGACAGCTGCATCTCACCTGTTTCTGGATGACCTGTCAGCGATGTGTGCCATAAGTCATCTCCTCCATTGCCAGGCCCAGAGGGACCCGCCCGTCTGACGTGGCAGGGAACACCCCACTCACAGTCCAACTTTCCTTCCTTCCCTGACTCACCTTTTCTTCTTTCATGAGCTGGACTCAAAACAGGGAATCTGTTTCCTCCCTGTCTGCTCCTGTTTTGTTATTCTTTTTACTGTTCCTTTCTCCAGTAAAAATAAGGGCTTCTATAGGGATAATGTGACTGTGTCGTGGCATGGAAGTGGCTCCAGGAGAGTGGCATGGAGAACCCCATCGATTGTTGCATCCTATGTTTAGGGACATTTAGCTGTCCCTACGTGCAACCTACCAATTTTAAAGTGTGCAGGAAAGAATGAACTTAGTGGCCTAAACTGCCCTTCTGGAAAGCCAGCTTTTGATGGGCAGCTGGGAACTTACATTTCAGGAGGGTTCCCGACACAAACTGCTAAGAGTGGCTTAATGTGTTTGAGCTGTTTGTGTGACCCACATGGTTTATGCTGAATGCCTGCCTTCCTTCCCGGGGTCTGGTTTTGATGTGTGCCAAGCAGAGGCTGCCTACAGGACCAGTCCCCAACTCTCTTCCTTGGTGGGCAACATTTCTCAATCTGGTTACAATTCATTACTGGAGAATTAAGCAAATGCTTTGTGATTTTTTTTCCAGTGCTGAGAATTGAATGCAAGGCCTTGTGCATGCTATGCTGAAGTTCTCTGCTAATGAGATTCACCCCCAGCCCCAAGTCTTGTGCGATTCTAATGAGAGGATACTGGAAGCAGAAGCCTGCTTTCCCCCAGACCTCTCGCCAGGCACTTTTACCCTTTTGTTGACTGTGCTTGGAATCTTTTTGCTTTGAAAAAACTTAATCAGTGTCTATATGTTGAGTCTGTGAGTCTGCTTAGTGGATTCTGAAATTGAAGTTGTTTTGGGAACTTCCTACACATAGGGTAATAAAAACTCATCAACAGTATTGTAATAGGCCACAATTTAAAATCCATCGTTCTCACAGGTGTGAGCTCCTTGAGGTAAAGGACTGTAAGAACCCTTCCAGACCTTGTCAAGGTCCAGGAAGTTGATATTTGTAATCCCAAAAGAACTTTATTGGAATTCCAGTAAATTAATTCCAATCTACCACTGCCAATGCTATTTATGGTGAGAATAAACACACAAGGCGTATTTGTAGTTGTAGGAGGTCCTAAGTCCAGCTAGGACAATGACTAACTGGAACAAAGGTCTCAAGCTAGGGCCAAACATGAGTTTTATTAATTCACGAAGAGGGGAGTAGCTCAGGGATGAGTGGCTATGACAATGGCGTAAAATATGTTAGTGCTGTGAGCTGGGCTGGGTAGGAGGCCTGAGATCACCTCTGCCAGAGAGAGAGAAAGAGAGAGAGAGAGAGAGAGAGATGCAGAAAGAGTAATCTGCATATCAGTTTGTGGAAGTCTAGTGTTTTTAGGTGGGTGCTTCAGTTTTGATGTGTAATGCCCTGAGAAGTCATAGCCTCTTTTCTTCCTATTAAATTTTAAATAGGAGGGGCTGGGGATTTAGCTCAGTGGCATAAGCGCTTGCCTTGCAAGCAGGCAGTTGTGAGTTCGATTCCTGGGACCGATAAAAACAAAAAAGACAAAAAAAAAAAATTTTAAATAGGAAAAAAAAAAAAAAGAAAAATTAAAAAACAAGAGATATACAAAAAACTATAAGAACAACAAAAACCCCACAACAAAAACAATATAGACTTTCAAAACAAGATGATAGGAATTTAACGATGGTTGTAATATTGCATAATGTTATTTTCAAAGGAGTTGCTTAGATTATCCAATATAGACATAGCCTCTTTGCTTGAGGCTCACTCTCATCCCACAGCGTGGCTTCCCTGGGCCCAGCTCGCACATGTTACATGAGTGCTGCAGGTGGGCATCACTGACCTGTCACATTGCTTCAAAGACTACACATCAGCACCTCGACTAGACCCATTTGCATTGCTTAAAGCCAGCTGAGGGGATAAGGATCCTAGCCAGCTCTATACGTATCAGCACATGGAGGCAGGCCAAATGCTCTTGAAGGAGAGCCGTCCAGGTGGTCCTCCACAAAGGACTGTGTCCCTTTAATAATCACTTTAGTCACTGGCATAATGCCTATCATATAAATGATTATTCACTGCATTTTCTGGAAAAAAAAAAAGCCTAACTAGACAGGTTGGATGAAGCAAGTTCTTAACTAGTGAATTAGGGGATCCCTGCATCCTGTGGATTTGGACTTACATATGATGTTAGTAGAAAAAGTGATCCGGATTGTGGGAACACATTTTAGGATAAACACCACCTAACGCTTGTGTTTCCACCTCTGGCACAGACTTTCATCATATTCATGTATAATGAAATGTGACTGGTGTATTCCCCCTTTTCAGAGTTGAAGGCTATCTCCCCAATATTCAAGTCCTCCTGGAACATCAGAATGTGACCTTATTAGGAAATAAGGTCATTGCAAATATAATTTAAGTGAGGTTAAACTGGATTGTGAAGAATCTTAATGACTGGTGTCTTTATAAGGCAGAAATGCAGGCAGACACAGAGGTGAAGACCGTGTGACTCAAATCCCGGATGTGGTATCATTTCATCCATAACTTTCTCACTGTTTTCTAAAGACAAAGGATTTAAACTCACATATACACACACACACACACACATAAGCATTATTACTGCATGTTAAAATTAATGCTTTTTTGCTATTATTCAAATGTCCTTCATTGTTTCCCATTTTTCAAGGTTTGTTCAAGTCAGGATGCAAATAAGGTCCACGTGTAGTTGACTGATAGAGCCCTGAAGTCTGTTAATCCTGAATTCTCTTCCTTAGGGTTGCTACAGTAGCAATATAAAGAAAAGATAAGAGTCTAATTTCAGCTTATGAGTTTCACCATATACTTTTTCTTTCTTCTATTTCAATGATAGGTGAAACTTGAGTGTATCACTTTAATACTATACACCGGGTAATATTCAGATTGAGAGAAATATACCCATCTCCTCATCATGACTTGTCTTTCAGCAGTGACTCAAGCTGTTGAGTCCTGGGATAAGCACTGCAGCGCCACTGTGGGCGGTGGGAAGCTCCAGGGGTTCCTAAACTCCGCATCAGTAAAGCATTAAAGAGACAAGCTTGAAGGAAAGAAGACTTTACTGCAAGCAGGACAAAGGAGGACACAGACAGCTGCTGTCTTGATGAGAATCAGGGAAGGAGGCTCCAGAAAGGTGGAGGACCCGGGGCCCTTTGTTCTCTGCTGATTTTATAGGGGGTCAGGGGCCCTTGTCCCTACCTGGACTTTGCCCTCACTTGATTGGCTTCTACGTCATCTCTTCCGGTGACTTATGATTTTCCATCTTCTGTATCTCTGTGCACTGTCTGTCAGCTCCCTCTGTCTGGTAAGTCCCTAATGAAATTCTTCCCAGGGGAATTTCTCCATTTAGGTTCTAACCCCTTCTAGTCAGTGTTAATCAGAAAACTTGATGAGGTTCCTAGTCTGTTTTCTGGGCTAGAGACCACTTCACCTACCAAAGGCAGGCAGAAGAGTGAGAGGCCTGGTAGTGGGAAGAAACCAAGGTGAAGAGCAGCTGGAGGGCTCCTGCAGGTATCCTGTGCATTGATTACTGGGGTGTACTGAGCTTTCTCTAGTTGGCTACTGAGCTGGCAGCAGAGACAAATCAGGGCAGCTGTCAGTAGTTAATCAAGTCTTGGCTCTTTGGGGCTGTTAGGAGTGTTTGCTCTGTGGCTTCCTGGGTACTGGACCTACAGTGCGACTGACAGCAAGCTGTCTTCTTGGGCTGGCTACTGTAGGTGAAGGGCTGGTTTTCAGTGCAGGCTACAGCAGGTTGTGGACCAGAGCTCTGTTTTCATACGTGGTCCAGCCACAGTCTCTCTATTCAGTCTCTGTGAGGACAGAAAGGTCGCCTACCGTGTGCTTCCCAAGGGAACTTGCCAAGTTCCTCCCCACCAGCCAGCAGTGATAGGAACAGAAAGCCACTTGTGAAAAGACTTGCAAAAGCTTTTTGAGTGAGTGGCAAGGGAAAATAGCCCAAGTTCCCAGTGTCCTCTCAGAGCCAGCAAGAGCCAGAGAGGGTCGCTGTCCTCAGAGGCCGTGTCCTCGGAATAAAGATAGCCTAAGGGGTTCAATGACAAGGTTTCTTACTCTGTATCCAATCTTGGTGCCCTAATTTTATCTTTACTGTTGCAAACGCTGCATCATTTCAACCTCACAGTAACGCTGTGCATTGACTGCATTTTCTTATTTTTTGGCACTGGGGATGTTGGTCCCAGAGAGACTGCCTCTCCCAAGGCTGGTTACTTCCGAGATAGCAACCTACACACATCCTACCATCTACTTGAAAGATCTCTAGATGAATACCTAATGCACTGTAAATCATTTTACATAGTAATGTTTAGGAATAACTACAAAAAGCTTGTGCATGTTCAGTACAGGTAAAATATTTTCAAGTATTTTCTATCTGATGTTGTTTGAATCCATACAAGCAGAACTCAAGCATGAGGAGTTTGACCGTAGTAGAAATTAGGAATGTTTTACTTCCTATGCTTTAAGTAAAAATGAATGTTCATTTGAGTTCTAGAACTTTCTTTCAGTTTTGGAGACTGCTAGTTTATAGATCTTTTTGGACCAAATCAATGGGCTTTTAACTTGAAAGAATAAGGATACACTTAAAGAGAGAATGAAAGAGACAGTCTGTACGATCGTGACAAGAGCTGTGGTACTTAAGGATGAGGAAATTGTCCCTCAGTTTGGCATGGAAGAATTGTGACCATTGTTCTGAAAGCGACACTGACACTATTTTGGAGCACCAGCCAGTGGCATGACTCTTCCATGATTAGAGAGATGAACCCTAAATCAGAGCAATTCCCCACTGAAAAGCTACACTCTCCCATAACAACTTGTGTAACAAGTACCTTAGGTGAATGCACATTTGTGTATCACCCCATCAGTAATCAAGTACTGTTCTTTTTGGTGAAATAGACATATTATTTGGCTTTAAGTATGTCAATAATTTCTTGGATTTTTATTTGTATTCACTGTTTAAGGTTCTGTGCCATGAGGTGCTAATTCTGCTCTTGGCTATTGTTTTATGGAATAGATTTTGACTTGTTTTTACGCAGCCCTGTGGACTGGAGTGTGCTTCAGACTCACTGGATAGCTCGTTAAAACAGACTGCAGAACTGCATTCCCTTCTGATCCAACAGGCTGGGATGGGCTGCAGTGAGAAGCTGGATTTTTTATTTTTTCATGGTGACAGTATTGGAGGTTGAACTCAGGGCCTTTGTAATGAGTTCCATCCCCTCCCTGCTTCCTCTTTCCATGTATGTATGGATGCATATATGTATATATGTATAGACAGCATCTTGCTAAGTTGCTCTGGCTGGGCTTGAATTTGCAATTCTCCTGTCTCAGCCTGCCACAGTGCTTGGATTACAGGCATGCACCAGCACCTACTAAGAACTTACAGTTGCTGCTGCTGCTGTGTGGGGAACACACTTGGAGACCCACTACTCCAAAACACTTGTCTGTTTTCCTTATTTGTAAATGATTTCTGATACCTTTTTTTTCTAAAACTGAATCAGTTGGAAAAGTCTAAATGCATGTTATTTCATACTCTATTCTAAACTATTACTTTTGATTGGTTTTACATGCAGTAGTAATTTTATGGGTGATAACTATAACAAGTTACAAGATATTATCTTTTGTGTTGCACTAAATTTCTCAGAATGGATTTTTCATGCATTTATGCAGGAGTAAGAAACATATATAGAGACATCAGCAGCTGAATCTTATGTATGTCTTGGGGGGTTGTAGATAATGTTATCTTTAAAACACATTTCTGCAAAAAAACCAAAACACATTTCTGCATTTACAGCTTGTTGAAAAGGGGCTTGCAATCCTTTCCCAGTTGTTTAGGAACTGATATTTTATGACCCATTTCTACATTGTTGATGTTGTTTCCTTAATGGTTATTTTAAAATTTATTTCTTACTTCAAAAATTGAGTTATACAATGTTTCAATGTAGTATAAACTTTATTAAATGTTATTTTTCTTAGTAAATTCAGTGTTATTGCATTAGTGTTCAGATTTTTCCATTAGTATTATGAATAATTTAAAAATCAAGATGTTAAATGATATCATTAATCTAAGCAGTCCAAGAATGCTTCGTATGTTTTATTAATTAAAAAAGACTTTTTCCACAGTGTCTTTATTAGCCTGAAAATTCAGTTTTATAGCACCTATAGATATAAATGGGCCACAAATTTTGTTCAGAATTTAATTTCTTTAATATAGTGTCTGAATCATTTGGAATAGAAGTTGAGATGAATCTCAAGAATTAACACAGCAAGTGAAAAATACATGTTAATTTTCCTGTGCCATTACTGTGGGATTAATGTTCCAAGACCCCACTGGATGCCTGGAGCCACAGGTCGTGCCAAACCCTGTAACAAATTTTGTGATGTCATTACAGTCATCTGATAACAAAGATGGCTACTGCTGGGCGTGGTGATGCATGCTTGGTAATCCCAGCACTCTGGAGGCTGAGGCAGGAGGATCACTGCAAGTTCAAGACCAGCCTAGGATACAAAGTGAGCTCAAGACCAGCCTGAACTACATAGTGAGACCCTGTCTCAAAAAGACAAAAACATGGCTACTAAGTGACTAACAGATAGGTAGTGTATATATTGTGTACACAGTGGAATAAAAGGTGATTCATGTTTGGTGCAGGATCAAGTGACAGTGAACAGGACAGAAGGACAGTGCAAGAGTTTATTATGCTAGGAAGCAATTAAAATTTATGAATTGTTTATTTCTGGAATTTTTGAATCACAGATTCTTGGACTGCTGTTGCCTGCAGCTGACAAAACCTACAGAAAATGGAGCCTTGAATAAAAGGGAACTGCTGCTTGTGCATTTAAAAAATGCAAAGAGAATTAGATAGTTCTGGCGCTTTTTAGTATCTTGTCATTAAAGAGACAGAGATTCTGAACCTAGTCATTCTCTTAGGCTTGCTTCAATGCCTGAATATATATCATTTATTGCGTTTATTCTGTCATAGCCCCGGGTGTACCATTATGATTAAAATGAACAGAATCCTCCAGATTAATGTAATTCCAATAGACGGACCAGCCTCTGCTGCAACCAAATTAAGGGATGGTGCTTTGATATCAGTGTATTTCCTTTTTCAAAGAATAGGATTTTAGCAATTTGGATGCACTTGTATACTAAACTTAAAAGTATTTCAAAATACATTTTGAGTGATATAAGCAATGAAGGCAAAATATAGAGGTTTTGTAAAGTCTTTATTTCCTTACGGTTGGCTCAATCATTTAATAATTTAATGCCACATTTTAAGAAGGGACTATGTCATAAAGTCAGGGTCAGCCCAATGCTTCCATTATATTTCATTAGAATTTTGACATTCTGGGGTTAGGGATTTAGCTCAGTGGTCTGAGCACCTGCCTTGCAAGCGTGCAGTTGTGAGTTTGATCCCCAGTACCAAAAAACAAAAACAAAATAAAAAAACCTCAAAACAAAACAAAAAAAGAATTTTGACATTCAGAAGACACATTAAAATTTTTAGAAGTCTTATTGGATAAAAAAGTTATGAAATTCATAAATTTATAATTTAATAAGCTAAGCAATATTGGCACTTATAATTCAAGTTCAAGATCTCTTAAGTCCTTTTGAAATATGTTCTTTATGTTCAAAAACTACCTAGTTATTTAAACAATTTTTCTAAAAAGTGAGATAATACCAATTTCATTACTTTGTGGTCATACCCAGGACAGATGATCAGGTTAATAGATTATTCTAATTCATTATTTTTCATTGTTACGTAGTTTAATCATATCATTTTTATAGTCAATGAATTTCTGGACAACTTCAGGATTATCTTCATTGGTTTCCTAATTTTTTTCTCAAAACATTTTTTACTATCATTTTATCCATCATGTTTTACGTCCCCGGAGTGATCCTTTATATGGGAATCTGAGTACAGAAAGTGAAGGATGGACACACAAACAGACTGGATCATTCTGATGGACCAAACAAGATGAGGAGTGGAAAATGACCATTGGATTTAGAGGCACGGAAGTCAGTAGTGAGGGTGGTGGAGCCCTCCTCTCTCTCTCTCTCTCTCTCTCTCTCTTTCTGTCTCTCTTTTTAATTTTTATTTTAAAACAAAGAAAGAACAACAAGGATGATACAGATTTCAAAACAAAACAATAGGAGATTAAAACTGGTTAATATACTGCCTATTGTTACCTTTAAAGTAGTTGTTCGGATTACAAGATATAAGCATGAAAAAAATGATCAAACATTGAACCATGGAATGGATAGAAAAGATGTATTTTTACACAACAAAGTACTATTCGGCTATAAAGAAGGATAAACTTGAGGCTTTTCTAGGTAAATGGATGCAACTTGAGACCATATTCATAAGTAAAATAAATCAGACTCACATGTGTAAACATCATATTGTATCTCTAGTGTATAAAAATTAAAAGAGTTAATAAGATTCTTTCTTGGAGACAGGGTCTTACTATGTCAATCAGGCTGGTCTTGACCTCCTCGTGTGATCTTCCTGCCTCAGCCTTCTGAGTAGCTGGGATTGCAAGTGTGAACCACCCTGCTTATCTCATAGCATTATTTTCAATTACTTTTGCTTGCTGGGTTTTCATTTTTGAATTTATAGCTTTCCTTGTACTGGATTATGTGAATTATAAATATAATAAGCTTACAGTTATCATCAGCAGTGGCCTGATTATTGCAAATTTTGTGTCTTAATTGTCTGTGTTACAGTTCAAAAGATATATATTTTTCACACTTATCAATCAGTGTTATAATACAGCTACACTTGAAGAAAAAAACCACAGCACTTAAGTGACATGTGTTGCTTGGTCCACAGATGTCTTATTTAGGATTACCAGAGCAATGGTGTTAATTCTTTACTGCCATGTTGTTGTATGAAGTGAGGGATTTTATTCACCAAGAAGTTCTCATTTCAAACTAGAATGAAGCCTCCTTTGTATTTGCTGTCCTCAGCTCCATAATATTGTGCTTCTTTGGTTAACAGAGTGATCTTTTTTGCATACTGACTTGGGAAATGATCATTTATTTAGAGAGAGATGAATTTTTCCTTTTAGTTTTGCCCAAAACTTGTCTTCTTCTTCTTCTGATTACCATTTATTCTATTATTGGTGGCATAGTTGTACTATTTTAGTGGCTTCCAGTTTTTTTATTAGTATGTATTGTGATATAATAAGGCCTTTTAGTGCCTTTAATATGGTTTTAAAAAAAGAATAGAGTTTGCTTTGCTTGTGCTTCCCCCCTCTTTATCATCAAAATGCATTTGTGATGATCTCCAGAGATCCTGGTGTATTTTCTGTTTCAGATGCATAATTTAAAGGATGCTTAGAGACCTGAGGAAATGATTGTGTGTTGAGAATGTAACGGATCTGGATACAAAGTGGCTCCAGAACTGTTTTTTTTTTTTTTTTTTTTTTTTTTTTTTATACTGGGGAAGCTGGAAAACACATTTTCTTTTGAACTGAGCTGTGTTTTCTTCTTGATAGAGCGACATTTGTGGCAGTTACTCATCAGGGGCAGCTCTGGGAAGCAGTCACTGTGGGCACAAGACGCTGAGCAGCTACTAAATGAGGCATCTCTTCCAATGAACTTCAGGAGTCTTTGGCGTCTGCAGGAAGAGGGAAGAAAGAGCACCAGTCCTTTCTCCAGATGGAAGGTGTGACTGCAGCCAGGACTGCCATCAGAGAGCTGGCGGCAAGACAAGTGCCATCTGTCATGGCAGCTCAGTCCTGGGCTCTGCCCAAACCCAACATCAGCGCTAGAGCTGCCTGTGAAACTGGAGAAGATAATTAGACCTTGAAACTTTCCTCTTCTCTTGAAGGTGATGACCTGGTACCTGTAACAACACACTTTTAGAAACTGAGGACCTAGATGCATTTTTCCCTTGAACAGGGGCATTGAAAGCATGCATTCTAGAGCCAGGCTGGCTCGGTGTAAGATGTGATTCTGTCAGTTACCAGTCCTATGTCCTATGTCCTATGTCCGAGCAAGCTAACCAATCTTTCCGTGCCTCAGTTTCCCTACCTGCAAAATGGGATTGGTGACACAATCTACTGCACAACTGCCATAACTAAATGACATTGTGCTGGCAAAGCACTTAGGTGCTATTGTTATCATCATCATTATCATCATCATCACCAGACATTTAGACAGTGCGCTCCTTTATTACGTCTGAAACATTTTGTCATGTAGCGTACTGGAAAGATCTTTGGATTTGGAATCAGAATCAGTGGGTTTGATCCTAAATTATTCCTTGGCAATGCCTTAAACACACTGCTTCACCTGTGAACCTGAGCGTGCTCCCTTATAAAATGGGATGAGAGAATGGACAGTGTCACTTTCAACACAATATTATCTCTTTTTATGGTTTCTTTCTTTCTTTCTTTCTTTGTTTCTTTGTTTCTTTCTTTCTTTCTTTCTTTTTGTTTGAGACAGGGTCTTGCTATGAAGTTCAAGCTGGTCCTGAACTCACTTTTATGGCCCAGGCTGGTCTTGAACTTGCAGCAGTCCTCCTGCTTCAGCCTCTGGAGTGTTGGAATTACAGGCTCGAGCCACTACATCTGGTCTTTTTATGACTTCTGCTTCTTATAATCACTGAAGAGCACTGTCCTGAGATTGCACAGCTAGTGTGTACACACACACACACACACACACACACACACACACACAGACACACATGCCCCAGAACTGTCCCTACAGGGTACTCCCTGGCCACTATCCAGCCCCGTTTTGATCAGTCTCCACTGCTGGGATCCCCTTGGGGCTGCTAGTGGTGCCATGCATCCTGGCTGTGATCATGTAAGGGTAAGGGGACTCCTGAGGACTCAGGGAAGGGTATCAGGCAGGATGTGGGGACCAGACGTGTGGGCTCAGGTGAGCTCAGTGAGTGTGAGCCTAGACTAGCAGAAACTACTACAGCTGTGACCAGAATCCGAGGGGTGTCCCAGGACCCTGGGAAAGTGCTGTGATTTCTCATTAATGTGGCTCCTGAAGCTTTGCCCTGTGGAGCTGCCCGATTCCTCCCACCTCCCAGCTTCTCCTGCCACCGTGCAGTGAAGGTGCAGAGTGGGATGGGGACATGGAGGGAAGGTCAAGGCTGTCTGTGGCTCTTGCTGAAGGCTGTTTGGTTATGAAAAGGAAGCAGGGTTTCCACTGCGGGCACCCACTTTAATTCAACGGCATGGGGGTGGGAAAGGGTAGGAGACAGGCTAAGTCTCTGATGCGGTGAAAATCACTGGATATCACTGGGTTATAAAATATGATGGAGAGGAAAATGATGTTTTTCATTTCAGAGCAGTGTTCCCACACAAAGGACAACAGACCTGTCAGACTGTTACCCCTTCATTATCCATGTAAAACACCCCATTCTGCCCAGCAGTGTAAACATGTTCCTTCCTGTCAGAGGTGAAAGGATTTAAATTGAAGTGGGTTTTGGGTTAAGTGATACCTGTGCTACTTTTAAAAACTCTATTTTAAAGGTATATGATGTGATATTTTTAACAATGTGATGTTTTGATCTACTTCTCTGGGTATGTTTATATTTAGATCCCCCTACATCCTTAGGTGACTGGGTCCAGGAACTCTGCAGCGGTATCATAGTTTTTGGTTGCTCAAATCTCTTATATAAAATGGCATAGTGTTTGCTTATAACCAGGCACATCCTCCTGTATACACCTCTAGATTACTTACAATGCCCAATATAATGTGTATGCTTTGTAAGTAGTTGCTATACTGTACTGTGTTGTCTAAAATTTACATGATTTTTATTGTTTTAATTTTAAAAAATTTTTATTTAGATATTTTGTCCTTATGTTCTTCAGGCTGGCCTTGAACTCACATTGTAACCCAAGCTGGCCTTGAAACTCATGGAGATCCTCCTGCCTCAGCCTTCTGGCTACTGGGATTACACGTGTGCACTAGCACACCTGGCTATTATTTTTATGCATCAAATCTTTTTTTTTATCAGTACTGGGGATTGAACTCCTGGCCGCGCACTTGCAAGGTAGGTGCTTATGCCACTGTGTCAAATCCCCAGCCCTGCACTGTTCTTTTTTAGAAACATGTTCGATCTGGGGCTGGCTGACTTTGAGGCTTGCAGGACTTTGGAAGTGGAGCCCATTGGCTATGGGAATGTCAGGTGTGTGTGTTTGTGTGTGCATGTGTGAGACAGGCAGTCATTGTAAAGTCTACCATATTGGCTACCGGTTGGCACATTCTCCATCCATTCATTTTTACGTGGACCTGTGGGGTGCTCATGTTTTTTGCCTGTTGTGAATAAGCGTGAGAATAAGGCTGTGGTGTACACAGATGCCTGCTTTCCACTCTTCTGTGTCTATGTCCACAAGTAACATAGCTGGGGTATGTAATAATTCTACGTTTAATGTCTCGAGGAGCAGCCTCACTGTTTGCCACGGTGACTACTCCATGGTACGTTCTGTGCCCAGGGCTGCAAATGTGTCCACATCCTCTGCACACTTCCTCTTTTCTGGTTTCCTGACAGCAGTCATCCTAAAGGCTCGGGACCTTCTTTCTCTCTGAGCTGGTACTAGGACGTGAGGATTCCAATTACTTGCGACCAGTTGCCTTGGAGAGTCTCTGGGTAAAGGAAGCCAAGTGGCTCTTGGCAGTGATTAGGGAACGGGGAACAAGATATATGGAGATAGAAAATGCTTTGCCATCAGCAGTTAATTGGGATCACAGAAAATGGCTCACACACCCATTTATTGTATTTTAATAGACTCAGTCAGGGTAATGGGGCAACAAAACCCCTTCAGCGATGGTGCTGAGATGGGGATGAGGAAAAGCTGCATAGCAATTCTGTCTCCCCCAAGAGTTCTGCAGGTCCCAGAAAGTGGGTTAGAGCTAGTTGGGAGGAATGGCGTGAGTGGGGGGAGTTTGGGTGGGAGGTTCAGCTTTAACTTTAGTTGCTATGAGTTACATTTTGGTGAAATGCTTCTGTGGAACAAAGCCAGCTGTAATTCTTATGAATGTTTACTAGGGACCCTTCAGGCAGTAGGAGAAAAATCTTCAACCTGTGGGGGTGAGGTCTTGGGCCTTAGCCTACTCCAATGCTATTGGCTCCAATCTTCATTACTCTGTTTCTAGTAAGGCTGATTCTGGAGACTTTTACACCTCATTTGCACAGTCATGGCTCACTCTCTTTGTCCAAGTTGAATTTATTTCTACTAAAAGGGAAAGTATTATAATGATTCTGTCATCCCCTCGATCCCTCATATTTTGCCCAACAGTTGGGGGCAAGTTTACTGGCACCCACCAAGGGCTGTTAAGCTAAAATGTCACAAAGGGAGATGCTGAAATATGGGCGACAGGGGGCCTAAGACATTAACTTTCTCTCTTTTTGATCACCGATGGTTAGGACCAGGGAGACTGTTACGTGCTGACTTGTTCCTCTTTGTCCTAATTCATTTACTGGGGTCCCAGCCCCCAGCACGTCAGAATACAACCACATATCCACACAGGCTCTTCAAAGAGGTCACTGAGTTCAACGGAGGCTATTAGAATAGGTTCAAATTCAAAGTGACTGACAGCAGGGGTGCGGGGGGGCGGTGCTGGGTACAGAGACAGCACCAGAAGAGGACTGGACTAAGGCGTCCCCTACAAGCTAAGGACAGGGTTCTGGAAGACGCCAACGGTGGGGCCTCTGGGCTTCGGAACCGTGAGAAAATAAACACCTGAGAAGAGGAACACCAGCTGAGGGAGGGAGCGAGGGAGGGAGGGGAGAGGCTCTCTGGAGCAGGCCAGGTGGGGGAGCGGGGAGCTGGCGGGTTTTTCGTTTTTTTTGGCGGGGGAACCGCTCCCGCTCTGAAGCAGGGAAGCTTCCACTCGGCCCTCCGCCCCACGCCCCACTGCCCACTCCCCGAACTCCGGGGCCTGCAAAGGGCCCTGCCCGGGCTCGGGACAGCCGGGCCTTCCCTTCTCGGTGCCTGGCGGCTCCGGAGGGGGCGCGGGCCGCTGCAGGCAGGGCCGCAGGGAGAGTTGCTCCTCTCCGGCCTTCGCAGGCGGGATGACGAGGGGGCGCGCGGGAAGCCAGCCCTGCAGAGCCGGGGCGCCGGGGCGCCTGGTGGGAGGCAGGATGCAGAGCTCTCCGCGGGCCCTGAGGCCTTCCGCCTTTACCCCCAGGCGGGGCAAGTGCCGCTTGGCTGCGAAGTCCACCTGCGTCCCTGCGAGCCACGCGACGGGGGGTCGTCAGCTTCTGGGACCCGAAGGAAGAAGACCTGAAACCCGGAAAGGCGGGGCGGGGCCTTGAGGCCGAGTGGGCGGGGCCTGGGAGCGGGGGCGGCGCGTTTGGGCGGAGGGGCGGGGCCTCGTGGCGGCGGGGGGCGGGGGCGGGGCCCGGCGGCCCAGCATGGTGACCTCAGGGCGAGAAAGGGCATCCTGCAACCCAGTGACCCTTGAGGATGCGACCCAGCAGGACGAACTCAGGATGGTTCCCGGATGAAACTTCAGTGTACTTGAAATTACTGGAAGGGACAGAGCACTTAACACCACGGGCACAAACTGGTAACCCCGCGGTTCCCAGGAGGAGAAACTCTCCAGGAAGATGCGAAGGGGTCGTCGAAGCGGGAATCAAGGTGCGAAGAGGAGTGCGGAGTAAAAAGCCCTGCACACTGACTGGCGCCCTGCTTGGTGGGCTTTGGTGACTCCCAGAGGATGCCAGAAACTGGATTCTCCCAAACCTTGTATATACTGCATTTTCCTAAACGTATAAACTGGTGATGAAATTTAATTTATAAATTAGGTTCAGTAAGACCTTAACAAGAATAACTTACTATAGATCTTAGCAACCTCAGCATACACAGCTCTTTGTTCCTGGAGTCCAGAGCTTCCACCTTTCCACTTGGAGAAGCCCTTACTTTACTCCGGCACTTAACCGAAAGGCCAGCGTCTCTACTCTTGGGCTTTATTCTATTATTAAGTAAAGTGACGGACATTTGACTATGAGTCACTGTAGATCTTTAATTTTTTTTTTTGTACCGGGGATTGAACTCAGGATCTCACACTTGCAGGCAGGTGCTTATGCCGCTGAGCTAAATCCCCAGCCCTGAGCACTGCAGATCTTGACAGTCCATCCCAGAACCCAGGCATGGAAGTGACTAGTGTGTGGGTAGTGCACCCAATAGGGGATCCTGGACAAAAGGGTGAGTCATCTGGGGGGGGGGGGCGGTGGCCTGGGATGGCAGGAGATCTCATCACTCTTCAGAGCAGTGCTTAATTGAACAAGTCTTCACTTCTAGAAATTTCCACTGAACTTTTCTTACTGTAGTTAACTGTGGGTAAGTTAAACCGTGGAAATAAAAACAGATGGAGGGTTACTGTGAAAATGTGGACAGGTCTCAGTGAATGTTGATTTTATAAGTCAATAGTAGTAACTTCTGTGTTTTATATCGAACCCTGACCACCTCTGATATTTGAGCAAGGTGAACAGTAAAAAGTGCTGTTATATTTTATATATGTAGGAGGAGAATAAAATACTAAATTTGAGTTTAAGAATGAGTATTGCTTTCCCAAATGTAAACACCAGAAAATAGAATATTTCTGTTTTCAAATCAGAGGCGAAACAATGAGTAAAAATACCTTCAATTAATTCCCAGAAGGCAAAAGAGGAGGAACACACACACACACACACACACACACACGGGGCAAAGAGAAAACACCAAGCCAGGCATGGTAGTATACACTTGCTGTAGTCTCAGTGCTCTGGGAGACTGAGCAGAAGTACAAGCCCAGCCTCAGCAACTTAGTGAGACCCTGTCTTTAAAAAAAAAAAACAGTGAGCATCAAATAAGACAGTGGAGGGGCTGGGGATTTAGCTCAGCGGCATAAGCACCTGCCTTGCAAGCAGGCAGTCATGAGTTCGATCCCCGGTACCGATAAAAAGGAAAAAGACAAAAAAAAAAAAAAAAAAAAAAAAAAGACAGTGGAAATAATTTAAATATACCAGTAATCACAATAAATGTAAATAGACTAACCAACTGAATAGTATTCAAATTCGACAATAGTATTCAAAGCCAAAGTGCAATGATGTGGTGTTTGTAGTGATGCACCTCAAATCTGACAGAGAGACTGAGAGTAAGTCCCTAAAAGCACAAGGAAGAAATAATAAATATATTGCAGGGAACCTGTCTTTCTGTTAGAGGCAGAGGTTCAGAGCCAGGCTGAAAGCTGTGTGCCCCTTGCCCAGCGACTGTCTTCCCTGGATGCTACATGCAGCCTCCTTCCATAAGCCTGCAAGATATCCCTGGACTTGGGGGCAGGGTGGGTTTCTTGAGAGGCGTGGAAAGTTGCTCTTCGCCCCATGGGCAAACAAGTCCCAGATGACAATGTCTTGCAAGTGGCGAAGCAAAAGAATTGTCAGCCTGGCGTTGCATACCCAGAGCACCTTTTCTCAAGGTAGATGAAGTCGGTTCTTGTGATCCACACGTTTCCC